CCGGTGGGGGGGGGGGGGGACCCTTGCAAGGGTCCGAGGTAGTCTTCCAGGCCCCCTGCGAGTCCCCCCCCTCCCCCCACGGGTGCAGCATGGGCGTAATCGCCAGCTTCTAGGACTTTCTGAGTCTTTTAAGCCTCAGAAAAGGTCCTAGAAGCTGGCAATTTCACACACACCTGCCCCGTGGGGGTGGGGGGAACCTTGCAAGGGTCCGAGGGAGCCTTCCAGGACCCTTGTGAGGTTCCCTCACCCCACCCCCACGGGTCCAGTATGAGCAAAATCACCAGCTTCTAGGGCCTTTTCTGAGCCTTTTAAGCCTAAGAAAAGGTCCTAGAAGCTGGCAATTTCGGCCATGCTGGACCCGTGGGGGTGGGAGGAGCTTCACAAGCATCCTAGAAGGCTCCCTCGAACCCTTGCAAGGCTCCCCCCACCCCTCCACGGGGCCAGCGGGGGCGAAATCGCCATTTTCTGGGAGTCTTTTGAGGCTTGGGAAGCCTCAAAAGACTTCCAGAAACAGGTGATTTTGCCGGCGCTGGATCCGTGCAGGGGTGGGAGGGGGGAGCGTCGCAAGGGTCTGAGTGAACCTTCCAGGACCCTTGCAACGCTCTCCCCATCTGGAAGCTGGTGATTTCGCCCGTGCTGGGCCCGTGGGGGGTGGGGGGAACGTCACAAGGGTCCTGGAAGGCTCACCCGGACCCTTGCGACGCTCCCTCCCACAGGGCCAGCAGGGACGAAATTGCTGCCTTCGCTCCGTTAGACGCACGGACTTTCCCACCCACATACGGGTGGTTCACAGAGCTAAGAACTGTCATTGTTTTGCTGCCTGGACACCGGACTTTCCCACCCACATTTTGGGGGGGAGAAAGTGCATCTTATGGAGCTAAAAAATACAGGTAGTTCACAGAGCTAAGAACTGTCATTATTTTGCTGCCTGGACATTGCTTGCATGACTGCTATTGCTGCTCTTTACGCTTTATTCACAGCTATTATGCATTATCTCCTTACTTTAAGTGACCCAGAATTCCCATTAAGCAACATGTCCACCACAAAGCTAGTTTTAAAATCAGATCGAATTTTCAGCTTTGCTAACATCACTAGAAATTGTTTTAAGATTGCCTACAAAACCCAGACTTGGGAAAGTGTATGGATATGATTCACTGTAATGGAGTTAAGTTTTTCCAGTTCTCCTTTATCCTACTAATGCTACAAAATTCTAGCATTTTTTCACAATAAACTTGGGAGTTAAGCTTTTTTTCCCCACAAAGACTAATGCAACATAATTCAAAATGTAACTACTATCTATACAAGTAAATATGTTCTATATTACAACTGGAGTCTATAAATACTGTTTTTAAAAAAACAATACCATTGCTATCTGTTCACCAGTTTCTAACTTGTTACTTCAAGTATGTTTCACTTCATCTGCAGTAGGGACCACCATAAAAAGATGAATTTGAAAAACTTGGTGTAATTGTGGTAACACTGTACTGTATAGCACTGCTGTTTTTACAGCTTAAATGTACAACTGTACATGAACATTTCCACACACATTATAACTATGGTTCCTATGATTTTTTTTTTCTGCTCTAATCATCATAATCATTATCATGTGCCGACCAGTGAGTTCTGACTTGTAGTGATCCTTTTCAAAGTCTTCCAGGTAGAGAATACACAGAATTAGTTCACCATTCCCTTCTTCTGGGGACGTCCTGAGCCCACACAGGCTGACTCTGCTTGCAGGAGACAGTGGGGAATCGAACTTCCAGCTTCTGGTTCCATAGCCAAATATCTAGCCGACTAAGCTATAGAAATATAAAATATCCCTACGAAGGTAGCAGGAATGAGTGAAAAGACTCTTCCAAAGGTCTCAACATCTTTGGGAGGCTTGGATGGAGAATGTCCTTCAGATATCCCGACTCAAGTCATACAGGGCTTTACAGATAGCAACAATAATTTTGAATTGTACCCAATAATAGATATATACTGTAGTTAATAAGACTAAATGATAAGCTTTCTGGACCACCCAAACAAGTGCCCACTGCACTGAGTTCAGCTCAATCGTTAAGGAATACCAAAAAATTACGTTGAGATGTGTTAATTTGAGATGCCTTAATTTACATTACATTTCCACATTGTAAGTTCCAAAATGATATTTAGAATAATAAAACTGGAAGTATCTTCAGAATAAAGTGTGGAATAAAAGAATGTCAGCA